CATCCACCTCGTTGCCAAAGAACATCAAATCTAGGGTATGTCTCACTATATGCGCGCGTGCGTGTGTAAAATGCTGTCAAGTCGCAGACAACTTATGGCAATCCCACCAGGGGGCTTTCAAGGCAAGTGAGAAGCAGAAGTGGTTTGCCATTGCTTTCCTCTGCAGAGTCTTCCTTGGAGGTCTCCCTTCCAAGTACCGACCCTGCTTAGCTTCCGAGATCAGATGAGATCAGGCTATACCATGCTGCCTTCTCTCCCTCACTATATGGATATAGGGACCAGGATATTCTGATATAGACTGATAGTTGCCATGGGAGCCATCTTGTCACTCCTTCTGAGGCACTGCAAGGGATTGTAACAAACTGGCTGAAACGGAAAGCCGTCTGTCTGTTTGTACTGTACTGTACTGACTCACAAAGCTGCCATAAAACAGCTACAGACAATGCAGCAAGAACCCAACAGATACAACAAGAACTGGGGAGCTGGAAAATGAGAGTATGTTGCAATAAAGACAATCAGCGAACATCCTGTAGATGAGAATAACCCTGGCTTCTGCAGAACCAGCCAGAGTTCCAGCAGAGAAGCAGTATCACTGAGGAAGAATTACTAAAGGTGTACAGGTAGCATGTATGGGAAATATCCCTTTCCTCCAGAAAGATGCCCTGTCTTCAGACCAAGCTTCTGCGGCGGCTACAGGGAGTGAAGCTGTGGAGGCTTGTGAGCAAAAATTCTACTTTGTGAGCTACTGGCATTAAAGTTTTGAGCGAGCGATTTGGTTGCTACATAAATTAGTTTGCTCTGGAGCCCTCCTTCCTGAGCTAAGACAAAAATCTGTGAGCCGGAGGCTGAAAAACTGTGAGTTAGCTCACACTAACTCAGCTTAGAGGGAACACCGCTCATTGCTTAGAGAAGCAGGCCTAATTTGAAAGTTCTTACAGAGTGGTCAGCCCTTATCACATAGAGAGGGATCCAAACTAAACTGGCCATTCCCACCAATTCCCCTTTCCCACTCCAGAACCCCCCTCATACCCTTCCTCAGCCCCCTCCCCCGCAGTATTTTGTGGAGATCAGCAAGAAGCCCATTTTGCTGATGGAAAAATTTGGTTCTGGATCCAACTTATAGTGTTTCATTGCCCTGGCCTGTTGTAAAGAACATTGGTTCTTGCAGATCTCCCTGAAACACCCTCTCTGGCTAGAGTTCTATGGCAGTGCACAGGCGGAATCTCTTCTATTTAATAACCCCCTTCATTCAGTACCCCTTATGAAGCTTCAGTCATTACACTCATCCTTTGACTGAATGGCAGAAGGCTCTGAAAAGAAGAAGTCGTTTGGGGAAGGAAACCTGCAGAACAGCTGCCTTCCCGTTCCCAGTTGGGGTTTCAGGTGCATGTTTCCTTTCCTAAACCTGCCTCTGAAACTGCAGAGGAGGGCAAACAGCTGCTGGTTTGGAGCAGAATGGCAGGGAAAAGGGGAAACATTTTCTTCTTCACCACTCTTCTGCTAAAAAACAACAACAACACCCTCCACACCCTCCCCAAAGTTGCTTCTCAATTAAAAACCAGCTGATAAGGCTGATAAGACACATCTCTCAATGTAACCCATATTTTTCAGCAAGAGTGATAAGATCCAGTCCAAAGACACCGGGCCAGTGGAAATGTCCACATATCAGCATCTTTCACAAGTATATTAATCTTTTGCTTGCACCCTTAGATACAAGGAAGAAGAAACAAATAAGGGAAGTCCTACAAATGAATATATACATGCCATAGGCAGTAGCCTTTTAAACATCTGGCAGGGGCAGATGGGCCATTAAAGCAACTGGGAAGAGTCCCCCTTCCTGGGCCACCCTGGTCCCAATTGTGGGTGGCCCTCTGTAGGGTGGGCATGTGCCACTACTGGCACCTCAAGCATGGGGAAAGGGTGCCTGTCCCAGGCTAGTTCTTGTGGCATGGGGAAGGAGGCGCCCAGCCCCACCCAGCCCCATGCACTGCAGGAACGGAGGTGCCCGGCTGAGGCCCACGAGGCACAGTGAAGGAAATGCCTGGCTTGGCTGAGCCCTGCGTAGGCTGGGGAAGGCGGTGCCACCAGAGCTACCCTGAAATTCCAACGTAACTGAAAGTTTTTGAAAGCCCAATAGGCAAGTGTTTACAAATTGATTTGCTGAGATTCCTTTACTTGTGCTGAACGCTGAAAGAATTTGCAAGACTGATGGAGATGCTGTATGGATTTCCATAAAGCTCTTCTATAATCTCAGCAAGTTTGAAAGAGCATAGAATGCTTAATAGTTGTAAACACGGCTACTGATAGTACCATTAGTGCATACACAGCACTTTATTTTGCTTATAGTCGTGAAGAACCTCAACCGCAAAGCTTCCATCACGGACATTCTTCCCTTTTATACAAAAGAGGACTGAAACCCCACTCTCTAATTTTGCAAGAGCCAAACTCAGAAAGAAGAAGAAAGACACGCCTAACATGTTCCAAGGATTTTGCAATGTTTGCAGGGCGACCGTATGGAGAGTTAATCCAGTCTATGCCCACTGAAATCCATGGGTTTAGACTGGAGTAACTATGCATAAAAATACAATGTATTAGCTTTTATTTAGATCTTACACAGGGACTGAGATGCTGAAACTGGGGGAAGAAGGGAAACTGTTAGCCAGATTTTGTTTGATTTTTGTTGTTGTTGTTGTTAAAGCCCAGTTATATCCAGGAGTGCAAAGAGCACAGGAGCAAAGGGGGACAAATTGCTCCAGGGCCCCGCAGGGATGGGAGGAAGAGGAGGAGGAGGAGGAAGAGAAAGAGAAAGAGAAAGAGATCGAGATCAATCCAGGTGGTCAGCTGTGTTGGTCTGAAACAGTAGAAGTTGTTGGTCTTTAAGGTGCCACTGGACTCTAAAGAAGAAGAAGAGTTAGTTTTATACATATATTGTATAATATATTGGTCCATCTTGCCTACGGTTAGTGGACAAACAAGAATGCATATATCTAGGTGTCTTGCTACAAAAGTCCCTGATGGTCAAGATGAAAACCCTGAGGGTCAATACGAAAAATGCTGGGAAAGTTGCTGTCATTCTGACAGCATGATACCCCTTCTGGTGCAACCCGAGAAGTGACACCATCTCATCAAGATGACTGCTCTAGTAGGTTTGCCAGGAGTCCTGCTATAATCCTCAACCCTCAATTACTCACTGCTGCTCCAACATCATTTTTGGGTACAACGCAGAAGTGACAAAAGGTAGCTCTAGGAATCACCATAAACTCTGTGGTTTTATGCTCTAGGATTTCACTGAAACGTTAAGGGTAGTTTGGAGATCAGTTGTAATTCTGGGAGAATCCTAGTCTTCCACTTGAGGCTGGTAACGCTACTTAGAAAACAATCCTGGGCTGCGGTCACGCGAGCGAGAAAATGCGGGCGGGAAGCAGGGCTGTTTGCCCCGGGCCATACGTTTGCATGATCAGACTTCTGGCCGCGCGCCCCGCAGTTCCGTATACTATAAGGTTTTACCCGGTGGCTTTTTTCCACGCTCCTGCGGCGCGATATGATGCCCCGACGACAACTCCGGGATGCTGGACAGATGTGTCTGTCTGATTGCACCCCTTTACTCCGCGGGGGAATCGCACCGTTGCCGCTGCTTTTGGTACGTATGATTGCACCCATTATCAGGTATTTTCAGAATCCTACTGCAGAATATTCAGTTGGGATTACTCCCAGGAAAGAATTCTAAGGAGGATACTGTTATTCTGGTTTCTTTCTAGAGTCCACGACCTCATTTCTGGATAGGATTCAAAGACCTTGTGAATACAGTCGATGTCCTGCAGGGCTATTCAGCATTGTTTAGTACTCTAGGATAGTTTTTATCATGGCAGTTTAAGGAACTTTAGGCTGATCATGAATATCAGTACCCAGCAAAAAACATGGTTTGATGCTGAAGATCCTCTGACGTCTAAGATGTAAGGTAGGACAATCCCACTTCTTTGGTGCAATGTTCAGCATAATGATATAATGTGGGTCTAACTCTTCTCCCTGGGAGTCTGAGGATCCCAGCCCAGTGTGTGAATGGAAAGCGAAGCAAGCACATGGCCACCCCCCTTTTTGAGAGGTGAGGTTGAGTGGTGATGCCCTCCCTTGTCTGGAAATGGCTTTGCTGTCCTTCCAGGGAGTTACATCACTGAATAAAAGAGTTTAGGTGATGTTTGTCTCCTCTGCTCTATTTTGCTGTTGTCGTAGCAGTATCTGTTTTATTCTACTGCTGATTCTGAAATTTAAATATGGATTTTAGTTTTGCTGATCGATGCTGGCGTTAAAAGTTCTTCAGTGCTGGTCATTCTTGTTTTTTGGATTTTTAAAAAAATATATCCTTGTGGCTATAATTTCATTTGTAAAAACATATGATCAGCTACCCAGGAACCAGTTTTCTTGTTGAGCATCAAGGTGAAAAATTCCAAAGCAAAGACACAGATACCCAGTGGGAATAAATAAATACCTGGCTGTGTTGGGATGGAGCTCAACTTCATTGGATGAATGTCATCTTTTTTGAAGTGCAGAATTCCACTTGGTAGACAGGAAGGTCTGTTAGCCTGTAAATACGTGGCTGTGTTGGGATGGAGCTCAACTTCATTGGATGAATGTCATTTATTTTTTTTTTAAATGCAGAACTCCACTTAGAAGGTCTGTTAGCCTGTAAGTCGGTCATTCTGTAACACACAGCTAACACCTTACCATTGTTGTCTAATTTAAACATCACACACTCTCCCCTGTGAGATTTCGTATCCTCAGTAAACTGGACGACTATCAGTGCTACTCTCCCCTCATAACACACTTGAGGTCCGTAGCCAGGGTGGGTGTCACAGTATGCCACACTTTATATTGTTTGCAAAGGAGGTTATCAATAAATAGTAATTCTAGTTTTCCTTTTACTCCTTGCAAAATATTTAGCGAGGCTGTGTGACTGTAACCGTGCAGGAAGTGCTGACAGTTCCTTGTCCGATAACACATGCATAGAATTGAACATCTGACTCAGTCACAAAACCAGTGTCTTTCTTTTCTCGTCTATATGAAGCTTTCTAAGTTGGTGAGTTTTTCTTCCTTGTATTATTTCCATTTTCATGTGTAAAGGATAGTATTCCATTATGAATAAGCTGCTCAGAAACAGTCATTTCAGTACTAGCATGCAAGGGATGTAGCTCTTAGAAAGATTCAGAAGAAAACTTTTTCTCTCTCTCGATGAGTAAGGAATTGGGATCTGTAGCAAAACAAGGGTGTTTTATTGCAAAATAAAGCAAAACAGTTATGTTTTACATGGCTAATAGGGGGGAAAAGTAAATGTAATTTTCATAGTTTCCCCCAAACATCCTAACTTTAAAGACATCTAGTTAAGTGCAATAGGATCGATACAATCAATACAGAATCTACAAAATGTTAAATGTTTTTGCCCTCTTGCTTCCAGTGAGTCAGTATATTGACAGTCACAGCTCACTCTACCTTTACTTTAACCTAATATAGTTCCACTGGAGTAAGCTGATTTGAATGTGTTGTTATTTACAGTTGTGCAACAGATTTAAGTGAGGTCTGGATTGTAAAAGTCTTTTCGAGCCGGCATCCCAGCCTTGAACAGAGCTACTATTAATTTCAGGGGGAATTCCCTTCGTGTGAGCATCGCCTTAAAGTGAATTAAAAAACATCTGTAATAAAATCCCAGTTCCCAACATTCTATCTCTTTGCTGTATATGGAAAGTGCTCACATTCAGACCATGTCGGAGTGAGATAAGCCTGGGGACGGGTAATTTGGAATGCCAAAAGTCCATCCCCATTGTGGTGCTGAAGAATGTTCATGAGCTTCACCATTCCTAAGTCTATTCTTTTGCTCACCAGGATAGAGACATTGGAGAGTGGGAATATCAGTAGTGTGGTTGTGGAAGAGGTGAAAGCGCAGAATTAAGGAGCAGAAATTGGCAAGACGTAGAGTACAGTGATCTCTTCGGGAAGAAAGAAAAGGCAGAGGGACTCTCCCTCCCCACCACTGTTTTCTTCTGAAAAAGGTAACTAATGGAGCAAGGAACCAACCCCTCTGGTTCAACCAGCTGGAGAACACAGGGTCACATAAAGGACAGTGGGAAGGAAACGGGCTGGGACATTCCTTACCAAAATCTTTGGGTGCTGTTTCATGTTCACCAACATTTCCTTTGTGAAAAAGCACCAAAAGGAAATAAAAACTGGTCTGATTTAGAAGTTTCCACTGCCTTTATTTAGAAGCATGGCCAACTTAGTCAAGATTCTTTTCGTTATATAGGGCTGCCAGCTCCGGGTTGAAAAATACCTGAAGATTTGGGGGGGGGTGGAGCCTGAGGAGGAGGGGAGGGACTTCAGTGGTGTACGATGCCATAGCGTCCACCTTCCAAAGTGGCCATTTTCTCCAGATGAACTGATCTCTGTCACCTGGAGATCAGTTGTAATCCGAGATCTCCAGCCACCACGTAGAGGTTGGCAACCCTCGACCATGGTCATCAGTGTCCAGTTCTATCTATTAATCCATTAACTGATTAAATATAGCCGTACAATTCCAAAGTCATAGTATGGAGGGAGAAGGTAGGACCTTGCTTTCTTTAAATGTGATTAAAATTTCATAAACATGGGGCTTTTTTTGTGGCAGTACTCACCAGTACTGAGTATTGGTGCCTGGGGGGGGGCGCTCTCATAAGAAAATAAGAACATAAGAGAATCCATGTTGAATCAGGCCAATGGCCCATCCAATCCAACACTGTGTCACACAGTGGCCATAACCCAGGTGCCATCAGGAGGTCTACCAGCAGGGCCAGAACTCCAGAAACTCTCCCACTGTTGCCCCCCCAGGCACCAAGACTACACTGCTCCAGACATAGTGTTCCATCTATACACTGTGGATAATAGCCACTGATGGATCTCTGCTCCATGTGGTTATCCAATCCCCTCTTGAAGCTGCCTATGCTTGCAGCCGCCACCACTTCTTGCAGCAGTGAATTCCATGTGTTAATGACTCTTTGGGTGAAGAAGTACTTCCTCTTCTCTGTTCCAAGCTTACTGCTCATTAATTTCATTGAGTGCCCATGAGTTCTTGATTTGTGAGAAAGGCAGGAAAGTACTTCTTTCTCTACCCTCTGTCTCATGTATAATTTCGTAAACCTCTGTCATGTCACCCACTCCGTCATCATTTCTCCAATCTAAAGAGCCCTAACCTCTTTAACTTTTCTTCATAGGGAAGTTGTTCCATCCCCTTAATCATTTTAATGCCCTTTTCTGCACTTTTTCTGCACTCTCCCAAGTCCTGACCCTTGTACACTACCCCCCCCCCCCACACACACACCGTTTAGCCTACAAGTGAATGGACCTCCAGGAACAGCCTGGTGGGATCAGGAGAAGGAGGGGGTAATGGGTGGAAATCAGCAGAACCATATATATGAGTACTGGCACCTTTTTTAAAAAAGCAGTGGATAAGTATAAGCAGGGGTCTTGTTGTAGAAAAAGAGCTGCCGGAGCTCATTAGCATAACTCATTAGCATAACTTATTTGCATATGCCACGCCCCCTGACATCACCGGAAGTGACAGAAGGCCACACCCCCTGACATCACCGGAAGTGTGTCAGACGGCCCGGCTACTTACCCTCCTGCTTCATCCTCATTCCCAAAAAGTATAAGCCATCACTCATTGATAGGAGGAAAATCTACATCTTTAGTAGTTTTCTTTCTAGGAATCTGGAGTATAAAATATTTTACAGTCACAGCCCAAAAGTCAAAGCATGTTGAACATCTCAGCAGTTTAAATCCAGATTTAAAAGACAAACTGACATTAATTTCTGCTAAGTAGTGACAGCTTCAGTTTGCTTGTGATTCTTATTGCTAGAAGGAAAGCCAGAACTGTTTCCTCCAAAAACTTAAGCAGTTTTTAGTAAGAAACTGGAAGAGAAATGTATATCTCTCAGGTACTTTGTGCAGCAACTTTTGAAGAGGAAGTGGGCACATCTGGGTGGTCTGAGTGATTGTGTGCCCTTCAACCTCAACTGCATTCACTGGGGAAGGAGCCAACGTTAGTCAGCAAGAAAGGCGCCATGTGATTAAAGTGCCATCCTTTACTCTCTTACATTCAGACCACATCAAAGCAATATTTAGGGTGGCCAACCTCCAGGTGGTACCTGGAGAGGTCCCAGAATTACGACTGATTTTTAGACAATCAAGATCAGTTCTCCTGGAGAAAATGGCTGTTTTGGAGGGTGGACTCTATGGCACTATACCCCACTGAGGTCCCTCCATTCCTCACCCTCTCCAGGCTCCACCCCCTAATCTCCAGGAATTTCTCAGTCCTGAGTTGCCAACCCCTATCACAGTTGATCTACCAACTAATGTGATCAACATTTGTGGCCTTATAATTGTCAAACCCTTGAACAAAGTTACTCACAACAACGCTCTCTGAGCAGAGATATGTTTATGAATATAATCAGGGGTCATTTCGTAGAAAAAGAGCTGCAGGAGCTCATTAGCATACCTTATTAGCATATGCCACACCCCCTGACATCACCGGAAGTGTGCACCAGCCCCTCTGACAGGCAGAAGCACCTGGGATCCATTCTTTTCCCCCCCTCCCTTCCCTTCGCCTCCAAGTCGGGCAAAGGAAAAGGGGAGGGGGAGGATCTCAGGCGCTTCTGCCTGACAGAGGTACTGGCGTGCCCACAGCCAGCCTGGGTGAATTATAGAATCATAGACTCATAGAGTCGGAAGGGACCTCCAGGGTCATCTAGTCCAACCCCCTGCACAATGCAGAAAATTCACTAATACCCCCCCACACCCCAGTGACCCCTGTTCCACGCCCAGAATATGATTAAAAAAAACCCTCCAGGATCACTGGGGGCAAAACTGGCCAGGAGAAAAATTGCTTCCTGGCCCCAAAGTGGCAATCAGCATTTCCCTGGGCGTGTAAGAAAGGGCCACAAGAACTAAGCATTGATGCAACCCTTCCTGCTCTACCTCTCGTGATTTGCCTAAGTTCACACAATCAGCATTATGATCCTTTTAAAGTTGAAAGCATGATATAAATGCAAAGGACTATTTGTAAGATTATCTGTAAGACACAAGACCAGGACGCATCTCACTTCTGGCAATCACTTGGAGAGACCCTATCACTCAGCTTCCATTGCCCCACACACACCCCACACTGGAATAAGAACATAATATCAGGCCATACCACATTGCAATAAAGCCCCTACAACTGTATACAGAAATACTGAGCTTCCCTACCATTTGCCACAACTAGCCCACCACACAAGCAGGATCAAGACTCCTAAGTGGACCAACAGACAGGCATACACTCGTTTGAGAAACTGAGTATTACACTACAACACCTCTGGAACATTACAGATCAGTAGAGGCAGCACTGCACAGTGGTCAGAGTTGCAGATTGATGTAGGGAGACCCAGGTTTCTATTCTCACTCTTCT